TGTTATAGCTAGATTGACCCAGATCAAACTAATGATAGTTTTAGTTTTAAAATTGATTTTAGCAAAACTGAATGCAATAAATTTGTAAAAATAGATTCTGATAATCCAGATAGAAATTTATTTAATTTTAATAGTTTAGTATGTTCAAAACTAGCAATCGAAAAAGCATGTATTAGAGATGAATAATATAGATGCAGAGAAGCTGTTTCTGCAGATATATTGAAATGTGATTCTCCTGGACTTAATGAATATGCATGTGTGAATAGGGCAGTTGGTAAATGCAAATATGACACAACTAAATTTTCTTGTGTTGAGGATTTGACTACTACAATTGGATGTTCAGATAAGTTAAATGTAGAAGCTTGTATTAATCAAGATAAAATTTGTAAATTTGTTAGCAACAAATGCCAAGAATATGACCTATCTTCATATACGAATATTAAAGATAGTGATAAGTTTCCATATTCAATGAAAGTATGTTCATATTTTGATAATTTAATTACCACAAGCATTGTTTACAGTTTTGAAAAAATGAGATGTGTTAAAGCAACTAACAGGGAACCTTTTATTACTAATTGCACATAATTAGGTATTAATAAATTTGCATGTTTAAATAAAACAACTGGAAACTGTCAATATGATTCGACCAAAAAATAGTGTCTTTCAGTAACAAGAGAAATGCTAACTAATGTTACTGCTTGTGATCCTACATTTAATTGGGCAGCATGCATATCAATTAATGCAAAATGCCAATTTAAAGATAATTAATGTTAAGCTGTTCCTGATACTACATTGTGTTAGGATTTATAAAATGCATCAGTGGCTACAAATTAGGTAGTGTGTTTAACAAGACAGAATGTAACTGATTAACCATGCAAATGGAATACTCAAACTAAGGTATGTAATGTTGTCACTGGCTCAACTGAAGTCTGCTCACAACCTGGTTTGAATAAATTAGGATGCATCTTTAATACCTTAGGATCTATGTGTATCTATTTAGATGGTTAATGCACAGATAATTATGAAAATGTTAATTGTACTAGTTTAATAAATAGGGACAAATGTTACTCTATCAGAACCAAAGGATAATATTGTTAATTTGATTCCAAATTAGGTTGCATAGATACACCTACACCTTAGACTACTTTAGCTGAATGCTTGAATTCATTGAAAACAAATCCATTATCATGCTCACTAAGTACTGATATTCCTTGTTTTTATGATAATACTAATAATGTTTGTAAGAAATTTGAATATCCAATCGATTCAAATTATTCTTTATTTTATAGTTGGTCTAATAGATTATCATTTAATAAGAAGGCATGTTTAATGTATGTGGAAAATAATTTAGCTGTTTATTGGATGGATGAATGCCTTGAAATTCCAACTAGTGAATTCAGTTCATTGACATGTAATAAACCAGTTAATAAGTGGGGTTGTTTAAAAATAACAAATCCACTCGCAAATTGCAAATTTAATTCAGCAACATCAACATGTGAAGAAGCTGATTTATCAACATATGTTACAAAAAGTTGTAGTACAATTGTAGATGTTAACAATGCACGTTTTTGTGAAATAAACAATAACAATAATGATAAATGTCAATATGATAATAGCAATCGTTCATGCATTAATGTTACAACTGCTATTACAGAGTGTGAAAATAAGGGATATAATATATATGCTTGCAATACCAACTCAACCCTTTGTTAATTCAATAATAATAAATGTTATTTAAAATCAACAACAGGTAAATTATTTTGTAAGGATGCTTCTTCTAACCTTGACGATTGCAAAAATGTATAAAAGGAAGGATGTGATACCTCTTGTCAATCAATCCCCGATTATTCAACAATTAACTGTGAGAATGCTATCAATTCATATGGATGCACAAAAATCGTTAAATCTTAATAATATTGTATATTCACAAATTAGAAATGTACTTTTACCAATCCTAAAACACTTTAGAGCACAATTTGTAAAAATATAACTAATATCAATAATCCAATATTTTGTGAATAGTCAGGAGATGTAGGTTGTTACTATGATAATGATTCTCATTCATGTAAAACTACTACAACTAAAAGCGCATTTGGTTGTGTCAGAGGTATTAATTAAATAGCCTGTTTGTCATCAACAACATCTACTTTACAATGCAAATTCCTAGATTATTGTTATGGACCAAATTCAGCATTTCTTAATTGTGATGTGACAGCCAATTCAGATCCTAATGCATGTTGTTAAAATGCAAGCACAATAGAGTCATGTCTATTTTAAGATAAATTAAAATGTTCTTGGAATCCTAATACATCAACATGTGTTTCATATGTTACTGAAGAACTGGAGTGTGGATTAATACAATTTAAATCAAAGTTGGTCTGTTTATCAAAAGTGGGTACTTTTTGCGTTTTTAATACTGAATTAAAGAAATGTGAATAGATTTAACCAATATCATGCAATTAAGCATAGTCCTATTAGTAATGTCAATCAATTGATATGATCCCATGCATTTGGGATAATTTGTATTAGATTTGTAAATTTAAAGTGAAAGAGAATCAAGATGAATGTGAAGATATTAAATCAGGTTATGGAAATAGATTGGCTTGTCTATCTGTTGAAAGATTAGGTTAAACTTGTTAGTTTACTAGTGGTTAATGTTAAACCTATAATGAATCTAAAACTGAGAATAATTGTTTAAATAATATCAATAAAGTTGCATGTACATAATAATAATCTAGTAAATGCTATTGGAAATACTCAGTTATTAAAATAAAAAAGACCCCATGGAGTTAAGAAACAGACTTATAAATTGGAGAATGCAATGTATTTACTGATTTTAATACATCCTCATGCGAAGAATATTTGAGTTACTTATCCTGTTTATCAGTATCAACAACAGGTAAGCAATGCAGATGGTAGAGTGGTAAATGCTAATAAATTGAATTCACTAAATCAACCATATTTTCACCCAAAGACCTAATTTTAGTGAATAGCAATGCGTGCAGTTTAATTAACAATGGAGACTTTGTATAGTATAATCCAAAATCATATACTTGTAAATTGGTAAGTGACTTAGAGTCAATAACTTGTCAACCTCTAACTGAAGGTATAAATAAATAGGTTTGTCTCAAAATAAAGTCTTAATCTTGTTTATGGGATGATGTCAGTTTGAAGTGTATATTCAAAAATACTAGATTACTTGTTGAAAAATAAATTCAATAGAATCGTTTACTGCAATCATCTTTTACTTGCAAAAGAGATGGCATAGGTCCTAAATTATGTAAGCAACTTAATTTTGATCTTCCTTGTGGTTCAGTTGATGATGGTTGTGATTTAATTAATCTCAATACTGCAACTTGTGAAGATCCAGGTTTAAATAAATATGCATGCTTAAACTTAACCACAGGACCTTGTGCTTGGATTAAAGATGATGATTCTGATTATTATCACTGCGAAGAATTCTATCCATATACTACTTGTGTAGATATAGAGTACAGTATTAATTCAATAGCTTGTACATATGTAGAGGATGATCCATGCGTATATAATAAATTAAAGAAAAACTGTGAAATACCTTCAGTGTAATATAATGTTTGTGAGATTGAAGGTATCAATGCAATAGCATGTTCCAGTATTAAAGGATGTTTATTTAAAGACTAAAAATGCATCACTTGGGATCCAAATTATAATATACTTTGTAATCAAGCAGAGAAAGCTAATCAATCAATATGTTAATTGGCAATAGATAGATGCAAATATAGTGAATTGACTTTTGGATGTGTTGCATCTACTATTACTGATAATTGTTATACGAATGGTTTGAGTGCTCTTGGATGTAACGTGCTTGATGAATGTTCTTGGAGTAATAATGCTTGTCAATGCATTTCTTATTAAAATAAGTTCCCAGATTGCAGCAGTATTACTGAATACACAAAATGTGCTAATATAGATTACTGCTATTTTGAGGTATCTTAATCAAGATCCAGTAAGGATATAACGTAATATCTAAAAAACACTAATTATGGAACTTGTAGAATCAAAACATGTGCAGATGTAGAAGTCAATAAATGCAATTTTACTACCATTGATCAAACTGCTTGTTATTTGAATTCCAAAGCCAAATGTTTGGCAGCCAATAAGTGTGAAGACATCTCTGATTCCTCATTAACCTGTTTACAATATTAAGTAAACAATCACTCATGTAGAAGCAAATCAAATAACACTTGTTAGACTTTAGATTGCAATCAAATCTTGGATAAATCAGAATGTGAATTATACAGTAATGAATGTGTCTTTGCTGGATTCTGTAAAAAAATATCATGTGAGTATATGGGCAAATCATAATGTTTACTTAATAATTGTGATTGGAATTCAACTTTAGAAAAATGTTAAATACAATTAGATTGCTCTTAAATTACTGTTGCTGATACTTGTATTAGTAAGAAATAAGGAGATTATCAGTGTGCTTGGTTAACCACGATTAGTGGATAAAAATAATGCACTTCTACAGGTTGTCGCTATCTTGGTTCATAATAAGGAGATTGTATGGGAACTCATATAGGAACTGACGTTTGCGTTCAAATGATCGATTTTTCTTGTGTTGCATGTTAAGAAATCAAGGATGCTTGCATTTGTCTCAACCAATCGCAATTTTGTACGTATGACAAGATCAGTTAAAAATGCAGTTCAAAGAGTTGTTAACATCATAATAAGGAAGACTGTCCAGTTACTCATTGCAAATTCAATTCAAACACAAATGTAATAACAATTTATTTATTATTCTAGATTTGTCAACCTTTGTGTTAATACAACTATAATTAATAGCAATGCAATCAAGATGATCAATGCCTTTGGAACACTACTAATCAAATATGCGTTGCTTATATCAAACCAGTTGTAATCGAATAAATCAATCTGCCTTCGCCAGATAGCAATAGAATTTTAGATATCATTATCCTAATACTCATTATGATTTATTGATTATAAATGATATTTATTAATCATATTCTTGACAATATTTTCAAATGAGCAATTACTATAGCTTCATTAATTAAATTGTATCTTCCCACTTGATACTGATCTTGCATCTCCTTTCCCCTATAAAATAGTTTCATGGATTCACACTAAATTTAATTCCTCTTCTGTAACTCAACATTCACTACATCCTTCAAATCCACCACACTCTGGTTCTGTTTACACTCCACTTCCATATCCTTCCCATTCAAATTCACGCTTCGAATCAGTAATTTCACGGTTTCATTACCATAATTTTAAATTAAACCTCTATCCTCAAACTTCTCGGCTGAGAATTCTATTGGATCATTTATGCAAAATATTGGTACATCGTATTTTTGTCCTAATTTATCATAAACATGTTGTAAGGAATCCTTTATCGGTTTCAATTCAGCCTCCTGAACCAGAAAACGGGCAGTTTCTAATATACTTTTTATCCCAATACCCTCATCTTCATTTATTATTGATCTCAAGATCTACCAAATCTCTTGTCTCCCTTCCACTCTGGTTTCTTAAATCAATTATATATTTCATAACTTACCCCAAAAAATATTCCTCAACTTTTCAATCTGAGCTATGGCAATATGACTTTTGTATGCAAATGTTCTCTTCAAACCCTTACCACTAAATTGTTATTCCAAAATATCAAAATATATTTTATATTATTCATTCACATCCTATAATACATTTCCATTCGGTTATTATCTTGCAACAGCCCTAGGCATCCTTTACGAATCATGACCTCCCTAATTGTTTCCTTCCCTACTTTCACTATGAGAACAACAACTTCCCATTCTATTTATATTTTTATTTTATTATATTAAAATATAATCATAATTGAGTTTTCATCTATTTAGTGATTTGCTTCCTATAATCAAGATCTCTCATTAATTTTGATTTCGAAGCATTATCTGGTTCCGTGAATTTTTTTAAATAACTCTGAATTTTTTCTTATTTTGATTTTATCTCACTATGCTTCTACTCATTTTCATTCTCTCTTAATAAATAAAAAGAACTATTTAGTTTAGGTAATAAGAGAGCATAGCATTTTTTATGCCTTTGTGAATTATTAGAGGCTGATCTAAAATTGCCTTTTACCTTTCTTTATTCAATTGCCGGAATTGAAAACCCTATTTTGTTGTAACGAGTGCTTTTAAATGGTATTTTTAAATAGAGATCTAAATTGAATTCCATTTACAATAATTAAATAAATAAAGAGTGATTATCATGAACTTCTTTCTAACTTATATATGTTATTTAGAGAAAAAGGAAAAAATAAAAAAGAAAAGTTAGTTTCATGAACTAACAATGGACAAATAAAATCTCTAAAAGTCATTCTTTTCTCTAATTTAAGTATTTTTGATAACGGAGGTTTTTGTTGAACAAAAAATAAGCTAATTTAAGAGTGCGTATCTATCAAAGTAAGATAATTAAGATTTAATTTATAATACAATGATCAACATATTGATAAAAATTTTTAAAATAAATGTTTACAAACATAATTTTTAAGAACACTCCTAGATTTATTAAAAACTATTAAATAGCTGCATGTAAGCAGATTTGGAAATAAAATTTTCATATATTGCAAATATTGAAGAGTTAATTATTAAATATTTGGTTTTAATATAAATTTTGATAAATTAATTAAGATTAATTTGTTGGTTTTATTAAAATATTGATGAGAATCTATTTGTAGTTAGTGCCAATTTTCAAAGGTATTTTCATTAATATATAATAATATGTATATAGTATTTAGAGTATTTAATGATTATCAATTTTAACAAAACTTATTTAAATAGAAATCAAATCCGTTTGTATAAATAAAACTTATAACTAAATAAACATAAAGCAACAAATTATATTATCGTCAGAGATATCTAAATGATTTAAAAAATTAATAAATTATGCAATTTATTTCCTTAATAAACTCCAAATTATTAGTTTTCTTTGTCAAAAATGCTAATAATAGCTTGCATAGCAGGATCACCCAAAATAGTATAATCATGAGTTGTCTTTCCAGCTTTTGAAAAACAAGGTTTGCAATATTAACCTACTGATGGAATCATGTAATTTTCAGGAGTGATCTCAATTTTAACTCCAGCTAAATAGATATTCAAATTTGGATAAAAAGGTGAATTGCAGGGACAAGAATAACTACTAATGCAGTTGGCTAAAATGTAACGATGCAACATATAATTAATGATTTCTTCATCAAGCCATAAACATGAGGAACCTGAATCCATTAATGCAATAGTTCCATTTTTTAAGGTGACCTTATCTGTCAAATCAATATCATTAATAAAAAATCCATACACTTTCATACTCTACCTTTATAATTTGATAAGCATACCCATTAATGATTAAGGACATTGGGCATCCAAACAACTTAATCCAAGTAATCTTCACTAAAATTATTATACAACAAGATCGACTCTTATGGATTTCGATTCAAATTTAAACCAAATATTGATGTTTCCAATAATTTCTATTAATAACCATATTCAAAAATGTTTTATCGGTCATTATAACTTGATAATCCTAAGAGACCTTAGAATTTTATCTAATATCTAATTAATAACAATAGCTTACTCCTGGCATAGTGAATACATTTGCCAACATGAATTTCATGGAGACATTTAAATTACCATTAGTCAGACTAACATAATCTTAGACAAATTTTCCACTCAAGGAACCAATATTGTAATTAATTGAATGATCTTCGTCAGCTTATTACAAAGTAATAGATCTATTTGGATCAAATCTTGGAAATATGCATCCTTCACAGGTTTGATTTGATATCCAAGTTGTCTAAGAGTGCTTGCATATATTGTTACCACTGATCCAGTGTCTACAACTATGGAGAATACTTGTTATGGAGTTCCAAAACTTGCATTTATATAATAAATGATGTTTCCATAATTATCTAAGGGAGCTTATTCAATAGTTGTATGTCTATTTAATTTGATTTGGTGATTGGAAAAGGGATGACTCTTTAGTTTTTATTTTGCTTGAATGCTTAGGACCAGCAAGACAAATGTAGTTATCATGGAATTATTTACTAATTGAATTATATATATTTTTAATGAATAATTCAATCCATAACTGGTTATTGTAATTATATCTAAGCATAATATGTATGATTGTTATTTTCTTAAATTGATTAGAAAAGCTCTTCAAAGTTATCATAAATTAATTTGAAGCTATAATCACTCACTTCAAGTTGCACCTAAAATAAATTAATTGAATATACTGGACTTGGTTATTTGACTTTCATGAATATTTAAGCCATGTTTTTGGGAACTTCACTTTTGGTCCATTGATAGTTATAAATATTAAATTTGGGAACATTTTCTTCACCATCAGCATTTCCTCCATCTTTTGGCTCATCATCACCACCATCACCTTCTTATTTGGGAGGTGGAACTTCTGGTTTCTCTAAAACCCATTCAGGATCATTGATTTCTGGATTTAATGGTTATTCGGTGATTGCATATAAGACTTTAATCTATCCCAATGATTTTTCGACCATCATCAATTCATCAGTAGCTCTGGGGAAGATTTGTTCCTATTATTATTTATCTCCCTATTAATCTGCTGATATGTAACCCCACAACAATACATCTCTATATATTGATTAATGTGAATATTTACCTGCTTTGAATTGGTAAATCGTCTATGTATTACTTAACTAATTTCATGACTGTTTCAGGAGTGAAATTAGATGGGTTCTTACAATTTTATTTAGTCCATCTCATTTCATAATCATTGGATAGCTTTTCAAAGTTCTTGGCTATCAATTATTCAACATCAACAAATGCCATTCTGTATTTTGCAGCAATATTTATGTAAATCAATTTTAATGCTTCATAGATATCAGAATCCAAATTAGCTAAGATTGATGCCAAATACACTCTCTTTCCAAATATCTAGTCAATTGATTTTAAATTCTATTCCAAAGAATAATTTGTGTCTTATTTGAATAATTTACAATCAGCTTATGATTATACATACACTTAAGCCTACTTTACAATCTCCTCGTGTGCCTTTGCATTAGTAATCATCTTCTCTTTGTCATCATCTGTCATTTCTTATGCTGCATCTATTTCACTCTTGATTTTATATCTAATCCACTAATTAGTTTAATCTAATCCAATATTTAAAACCCAACTGGCTTATCCCAAATTTAAAAACTACAATATCTACTCTGGTTTTTCACATCCTGGGGGGAATCTAACAAATTAAATTGAATGCAATACCCATCAAATACATACTTTTCATTTGTGACATTACTAAATAAATCCTTATAGTATTTGATTATCATAGGCAATGTCAATTCTTCTATTTATTCTCCAGGAACTGTGCTTAACTTCTCCTTCAATTAAGTTATTGCAGTTTCTCCCCATTCAATCAAATTAAAACCAAATTTTTAAGAGATATACTTAGCAAATGTAGTCTTACCTGACATTGCAGGACCAATAACAATTCCATATTTCACTCTCTTTGTTAAATAAGACTAAAAGGGTCCCAAATCTTCATTCTAAATGATCAGATTCTTGCCTTCTGCTGAATAATGTAACACTGGATTTATTTTGGCAGAGAATGACACTGCCTTTCCTTCCTTTAAGAAATTAATTAATCCTGTAATTGGAAACAACTTGTCTTCAAATGTTCTAAACTCCTAATATTTTTCAGGAAAACTTGTCAGAACAAATTTATTTTATTGTGGATCATTATACAAGTATTTCCTCAATAATTCTATTTACATTTATGGTGGCACAACCTAACCTGAGTTAAGGAAGGCTCCCATTTATTTTCCTTATGGAGTTCCCTTTGCTAACTCTTCTTCACAGAGTGTTTCCAAATGCAAATGTTTGAATCCCAATTCTGTTTCTAATTTACTCAAATAAACTTCTGCCAATTCCTCATTATTATAGGTGAGAGCAACCAACACCTTTGGCTTTAAAAAACTCATGATTGATTGAATTATTAAATCTGATGATTATTAAAAATTATTCGACAATCCTTTTTATACTGCATCGACAGTTACAAAGAATTGAAACTTCTTTAAATAAGCTAACAGTTCATCACGATTTTAGAGGAAGCTGCTAAATCTCTAAAAACGACTCTTTTTTTGTTCTTCTGTACTTAATAATCTGATATTTTATTCAACTTCGTCTTTGCTAGATTGGAAATATACCACATATCTGGGTTTTTGATAATGCTCAAAGAATACTACAGCTTAAGCCTTTTTATCTAGAAATCCATCGACAACATAGTTTTTTGGTTCAGCCTAGAACACTTACATCAATTTGTTCAATTTGTCAACTTCTGTTTATGCCTTTACTTTCGCATAGAATTCATCTAAGTTGAAATAAACATAGCCTGTTTATTTTGCAACTTATTAGGCCACATAAGATTTTGCAGTCGCTGGTGGTCCATAGAAAAAAATGATATTAGCTTTTTACATTTTTATTTAATTATTTATTTATTTCATTTAACTCCTTATTTCTAAACTTAAATAATATATATTTCAAACTGCCTTCTCCTTTTCACACTTTGCAAAGTTCTCAAAACTGAAATGCTCCTTAGAGTTCCTATTTGAAAGGATATTAAGTAATTATATTCAAAAAAATATAAAATTGTTATTAAACTAATTAGTTTACGAGGTTAATTAGCAAAACTAATCCTAAACCTGTTAATAAAATAGTATAATCTAGAAGAACAAAAATCAAATTTATGGAGTATTCAACACAATAAATGATTTCCCTTACAAATAAGAATTCAATATAAGTTTTATCATTATATATCAACCATTTTTTCTTATAAAACTTGAACACCATTGATTTATGTGAAGCAAGGGAAAACTTAATGTAAAAAAATAGTAGAGCTAATAGGTCTATATATGTAATGATAATTATGGAAAATAAGAATTAAATAAATAAAAGATATCAATATCATCATTATTAGTTAATTATTTGATTCAATATAATTAATTAAATAAAACGAAAAATATTCTAAAGTCCATAGATATATAATGCATAATTTTTAGAGAAGATTTTCCTAATATCCTAGTCTACATGTAGAGCAGAAAACTCTCTGTTTAGCTCGAAACTTTCTTTTTAATGAAGTTCTAACTCACATTTGATTTGGTTTCATATAAACATTTATTTAATTTTATGAGTATAACTTACATTTTAAAATTTAAATTAATATGAAAAACAAAGGTTAATAGTAACATACGCTAGCAGTGAAGAATGGATCATTAATGAATCCAGAGGGGTAAACAATCAATGGCTTGATTGATTTGATTAAATTGAAAAGCCAACCTAAAATAGTTTACTATTTTGATTTTTTGGTTTGTATAGATTAATCAGGAAATCCATTCATTTTTTATCATGACAAAAATAGATACATTAACATTCCTACAAATAGTCCAGCTCATTTGATATCTTATATAGATAACAAAGGAGGTTAATTAGCAATTGCATTGTAAAATAAAACTATTCAAATTGTGTCTTGTTAAAGTATATTTCTATTCTAAAAATTAAGATGGAAGAAATTTGAAAACCCTGAAAGGTCATGAACATCAAATCTTAAGTATGCATACCAATCACACTTAAAATCTATTGCTTTCTGTGAGTCAAGATTAATGTATTTTACATTCCTTAGACACCTTTGACAAAGTTCATTCGTTATTCTCTAAAGGTAGTATATTTGTAGGAGCAAGTTTCCTACCATCTTCAACAGAATTAGCCACTGTTATGGCAGATAAATCTTTGTCAATTTGGAATTTATCATCATTTGAAATAATTAGCAGAATCTAATTACCTGAATAATTTAATATCAAATAATGTCAATTGGTACCATCTATTGATGGGTAAAGGTTGATAATAAATTGCTAATCAAGTAAAATTTACATCTTAGATAATAATAATAATTTAATAACTCAAGATGTAAATTAAGGATATGGCAATGGTGCATTATTAGTTAAACCAATTAAAAAATAATAAATACTGATATTAACTAAGAATTTCATGATTATCTAAGTCGATAGTAGCGGTAGTCTTATAAAATGCATTGAAATCTTGTAAGGTAAAACTCCAACTCACTTTGATGTATATTAAAATAAGATTGCTATAATATTGAATACTGGAGAGATAGCTCTCTATGATCTGAATAAATTAAACAAGTAAAATTAGAATCTTAATTCAACTATTGGTGTAAATGTTAGCACTATGATTAAAGAAAATTATGCTGATACTCTTAATTTTAACAACACTACAACAAACATTGATATCAAAAAAGTTGGAAATAATACCAATACCTTATAAGGATCATTTTCTTAATCAACTGTCAGTAAAAAGAACAGCAAATCAAATAGTATGACCTAACCTATAAATTCCTATACTTTAGGGAAAATTTACAAGAACAGTGAAGATCCTTTGAAAGAACTTTTAAATTATTAAAAACTGCAATAATTTTTAAAATAATATCATGTTTTTCCAGATGATAAAAGGAGTTTGATTTGGAGATCTTTGCTTAATTTACCAATGAACTAAGAAGCTTATAATAATTTAATAAATCAAGGAATTCATCCAGCTTATTAGAAATTAGCAGATCAATATCCTTTATAGAGTGAATCTTTGTTTTCGAGATTATAAAGAACTTTATCTAGTTTGGCCTACTATTGTCCTTTGTTTGCTGAGATTGATTATTTACCTTAGTTGGTATTTCCATTTGTTAAATTGTTTAAAAGAGGAGAAGAATTATTGATTTTTGAAGCTACACTCTCTCTGTTGATATAACATTGCTAGAGATTTTTTGAAAACTTCCCTAATGCTCCTGTCTCTTTGTTACAATTCCATGATCAAGTATTCAACTAAGTGGAACCTCAATTATATTAACACATGAAATAATATTTGGGTTATTCTCCAATTAAATATGCTTGGCCTTCGATACGTTCATTGTATACTAATCTATTGACAAAGAACTAGTGGTTGTAATTAATAGATCATTTGATATTGTATAATGACTTACCTTAAATGATTGTATTATTC